TTTTAGTAATAGTGATATCCTATCTAATAGATAGAAGAAAAACGCACTGCGTGACGATCCCGGATTAATACTTATTACGAGATCGAGTAACCGTAAAAATACTGTCATAGACGTTGGTTGAATACCTACGTCACGATTAACACCCAGGAAGAGCCCGATCGTGACAACGTTGCAACAGTTGCCATGCCATCTTTATTTGTTCATTATCATTAATGTTTGTATCAAATGTTTCATCAGATTCTAATACTTATATATTCTTCTAAAGTATTATCATCATCTTCATAGTCTTCGAAACAAAATTCTTCATTTATTTTTTGTTAACGTTATAACTACAAAAAGTTTCTGATTTATATTTGATAAAATAATAATATAATAAATAATTTAACAATAATAATAATGATAATAATAATAATGTAATAATGATAATTACACAAAAACAATAGCAATATAATTAGTAATGTAATAATCATACATAATAATAAAAAGAATAATAGATAATTTTAATAATCATGCATAGCATCACAAAAAATTAAATATCTAATTATATGATTGACTTAGTCGACTGACTCTAAAAATAAGTTAACTTTTATATTAGGTTGACTTTTTTTTAAAGTTGGTCGACTAAGTCGAGTCGTTAGCATTTTTAGTTGCAACACGTTGCAACTTCAAAATTTTATAAGCTGCAATTAGTTGCAACTAGATGATGCTTTATTTATCATCACGTTGCAACAGTTGCCACATCATCTTTAGTTCAAATAATTTTAATAATAAATAATCAGTAATTTTCAAAAAATCAAGTAATTTTACAATTTTCTTTTATTTGACAAAATTTTTAAAAATTAAAATTAACTTTATAATATTATTATAAAAATAAATAAAAATATAATGCATCTCGCTTAGTTGTATCAAATACTATGTTACTATTGAATTTTTTTAAGAATTATCATTTTTAAATAAGTTAATATTTGTCATACTAATTAGAATTTTTATGAAAAATAATTATATAATTTTACATGATGAAATTCAACCAATCAAAAATAATATATGTGATATTTCAAGTGCTAAAAATCTCACTTTTATTATTAAAATTGATGTTAAAAAAATCTAACTACAAATAATTTTTATAATAAATGAATAAAAAAATACATAATGTTATAGATTATATCAAAGACTATTTGATAATGTATTTGTTTTAATAATTATATATTTAAGATAAAATTCTTTTGCAGTTCAAAGTATTTGATGTGACTAAATGGAACACACCATAACTTATTAAAAATTCTATTAGTTGAAAAATAAATTATATAACAAATAATTTAAATAATTTGATCATTTATAAATTTATTAAGATAATTATTATATTTGCAATTATATAATATAATTAAATACTTCCAAGATTATATCACTCTATAATTCCTTTATTTATATTATTATTGATTTAATAAAATGAATATGTGAATAGAAAAATGCAATTAAATATCATTGATTTAGTTATTGCTTTCTTGAGTTTTATTTTATTTCTTATTGGTTGCCCTGATAAAGTCGTCATTTACCATAGAGCTCAATGATAAACGCCTACATATAGTTTTGATTTACATAGTATATAATTCAAATTCCAAAATCATCAGTTTTCAAACTTCTATATAAATCAAATGTTTCGTTTTTTATAAAGTAAAAAATGTGTAAAATTTATTTCATATCGATATAATACGATTTTTATATTATCATATCGATGTGATTGTTTTCTAAATACCGGTTTAAATGTACAACTGCTTCTGAACCGGTTTATCCATAACCAATAGCATCCCTATAATTGTCACGACGAAAAATACTCTGCGAACCGACTATAGAAGGTACATCTTAAGGAGTGTTACTGTAACGAGCGCTCACTGTACATTAAAACTTGAGAACAGGGGTAGATAAAGGGAGCTGATGTAATATATTTCGTAAAGATCGGGGATGTTAAATGAAATCTTAGGAGAGGAGTGTCCCTATAATAAAACGTTAGGGGTCAGAGTTTCCAATACAGTAACTATATCTAGAATCTTTATTATAAACACTATTACTATATTAGAAATGCTATTGTAAACAATATTACTATCTTAGAAATGCTATTGTAAAGAGTGTTACTATATTTAGAACGCTATCATAAAGAATTATCATATGAATCCTTATTTGTTTACATTGGCTAAATTGATAATCAATTAATATTAGCCAATGAAAACAAAAATTGATTTTCATTATAAATTTATAAATTATAACATTGATCGTTAACAAGATAGCGATAGGTAAAGAAAGAAACATTCAATTTCAAATTTGTGTGTTGATCCATTTAATCCTCATCCAATCAGATTTCTTCGCTTTCCTTCCTCTCCTTTCTCCCCATTTTTATTAATATTCTATCACCACCAATCAGATGACACAATAAATCAACTCCAAAACATTTATACATGTATATCAATATGATCGGACAGGAAATGGCCATTATATTTTATAGTACAAGTAATAATACAAATAAAATATAAATACACATAAACACAAAACACCAGATAACATTTTGCATCACACATATTCCGACGGGGAAAGAATAGAAAAGAAAGCTTGGAAGAGAACCAGAAAAGCTAAAAATCATAAAAACATTTGATTAATTATATAAAACAACAAACACAACGAAAAAGAAATGAGCTCTTATCAAAAACAATAATTTAACAATATTTTATTCATAATTAATTTGTTTTATTATTTATTTATTTATTTGAATAATAACGAAAAGAGAAGAATAATCATACAAGGATCAATACATATCAACAAAAAAAAATAGTTATGTCATCATCTTCAAATAACAATAATGAAAATACAATAATAATTGATGACGATGATGAAGACGCTAATACTAATACTACATTTACAAGAGCTCGTCGAGGGACTGTAGAATTTAAATTGCCGCCAATTGATGAGAAACAAACGAGTAATCCACGGCATCATCATAGTGGTAGCTTATCACGAAAAAGTGGCAGTATTCATAGAGCAGCACGTCGTTTAAGTGTGTTAATGACAGGTGGAAGTGACAATGATAATCAACGTATAATCGAATTATCACCAGAAGATAAATTAATAGACCACATAACCGGGGATTCATTCATAGGTAATTCAATCACGACAGCACGGTACACTTTCTGGAACTTTTTACCGAAACAGTTGGCCGCACAATTTTCCAAAGTGGCAAATTTATATTTTTTATTCGTTGCGGGATTACAAATGGTTCCTGGATGGTCACCAACTGGCCAATTCACCACCATCATTCCGCTAAGTGTATTCATATCGATAGCTATGGCACACGAAGGATTTGATGATATACGCAGACACCGACAGGACAGTGTCGAGAATAGTAAAGATTGTTTGGTGTTGCGAATCATAAAGAACAACGATTCAAATTCAGCTGGTCAATATGTGAGTGTTTGGGAAAAGAAGAAATGGAAAGATATAAAAGTTGGTGATTATATACGTGTTCAGGCGCAAGAATGGATTCCGGCCGATTTGTTGCTATTGCATTCGAAGGGAGAGGAGGGAATTTGTTATGTGGAAACTGCCGCTTTAGACGGAGAAACGAATTTAAAACAGAAACAAGCATTGAAATCGACTAATGATTTATTACATAACAAAGAAGCTTTGGCGAATTTTCGTGGTAAGTTTTTTTTTTTAACTCGCTAAAAAGAAATTCCCTATTAATATTTTTTTGAAATAATAATGGAATAATAAAGCCACAGTAACCACCGAAAAACCAAATCAAGATCTATACAATTTCGACGGGTCAATAACATCAAATGGAAAAATTTTACCACTGACAACAAATCAAGTTCTTCTACGTGGAACCATTCTTCGTAACACCTCCGAAATATACGGTATGGCAATATTCACTGGCGAAGAAACAAAACTTCGAATGAATGCCTCAAAAAACATTCGCACCAAAGCTCCCTCAATACAACGACTAATCAATCGAGTCGTAATAATAATATTTGGTTTTGTGGTAAGTTTGGCTGCGTTCTTCACGCTTTTAGCACATTTCTGGGAAAAAAGATATGGCAAAAATGCGTGGTATCTTTCACGCAAACATGATATGGCGACCGCGTTATTTGGATTTGTGGTGCTTTTTAACACAATGATTCCGATTTCGTTGTATGTCACAATGGAGATTATTAAATTGGCGCAAATTTATTTCATCAATAATGATATACAAATGTATCATGAAGCGTCTGATACGCCGGCCGAAGCGAGAACATCCACGATTAATGAGGATTTAGGTCAGGTGTCATATTTGTTTTCGGATAAGACTGGAACTTTGACCGAAAATATAATGTTGTTCCGAAAGATTAGTGTTGGTGGTCGTGCTTTCTTGCATGACATGGATATCAGGAGGATTGAAGAGGATGAATTTTTCGAAAAGCTGAAAAAGACTCAGCAGAAAAAAATGCGTTATCGATTCTCTCTACGACATCGAGGTTCTCATCACGATGATTCTCAGGATGCAACTCCAGAGATATCTTCTGATAATCTTGGGAGACGTGATTCGACAAGAAGCGGAAATTTTTCAATGATTGCTCCTATGACAAATACAAAATCACCTTTATATGCCAGTAATTCACTGTCTTCTTCGAAAGGTGGGAAACATAAATTCCATTCAACACTGGATCTATTGACGATAATACAACGTCAAAGTCATACGTCATTTGGCCAGTCTGCTCGATGGTTTCTTCTCGCTATCGCATTATGTCATACTTGTGTGCCGGAAATAGACCAAGAAACAGATGATATTTTCTATCAAGCTGCATCACCTGATGAATTTGCCTTAGTCACTGCTGCCAAAGAACTTGGTTACGTGGTGACTGATCGTACAATGGGGACCGTTTCATTACGTATAAATAATGATGGTCCAGATGGATTAATAGAAGAAAATCATTCGACTACGTCATTCGAGTCATATGAAATTTTGAATGTGATTGAATTCTCGAGTAAGCGTAAAAGAATGTCGGTTATTTATAGATTACCCGATAAAAGAATCTGTTTATTATGTAAAGGTGCAGACTCGATAATACTAGAGCGTTTAAAATCTCCAAAGAAGAGTGGGAAATCAAATTATGATAAAAATAAACAATATTCCGATGGTGGAGGTGTACTACCTCCCACTTTTGACTCAAAAAGGTCCAGTATTGACTCTGAAAATGTTCTCGATTCAGGATCAACGCCTGATTATTTCCCAATTAAGAACGAAACATGGTTGTATAGTCAGACAATGAATCATATTGAAGATTTCGCCAATGAAGGTCTACGAACTTTACTTTATGCACATCGATTCTTGGATGGAGAAGAATATGCGATATGGAATAAAAAGTATACAGAAGCATCAATGGCAATGGTGGATCGGCAAGCGAAACTCGAAGAAGTCGCCGACTACATTGAATATAATCTCGAGATGACGGGGGCTACCGCCATTGAGGATAAATTACAAGACGGTGTGCCGCAGACTATCGATAAATTACGAATGGCCGGGATCAGAGTTTGGATGTTGACGGGTGATAAGCGTGAGACTGCTATTAACATTGGACATTCCTGTTCGTTAATTAAGAATAATTCAGCGCCTATTATTATTGATTCTGAAGGCGATATGCAATCATTTATGAATAGGTCAATCAAAGCTATTAGTAATGGTAGGGCGCAAAATCCAGTAGCAGTTGTTGATGGAGCCACATTAATGCTAATTGAGAAAGATGCGAAATTAATGGAAACCTTTTTAGAATTGGGAATTCTATGTGACGCAGTAATTTGTTGTCGTGTTAGTCCAAGTCAAAAAGCACTAGTGGTACGAAGTGTTCGCGAAAAATTGAATCATCATGTAACATTAGCAATTGGAGACGGAGCAAATGACATAGCAATGATACAAGAGGCACATGTCGGAATAGGGATCACTGGTCGAGAAGGATTACAAGCAGCAAGATCAAGTGATTACTCCATAGCACAATTTCGATTTCTTGCCGATCTGTTATTTATTCATGGACGATGGTCGTATATTCGTGTATCGAAATTTGTACTTGGGACTTTTTATAAATGCATGTGTTTCTATCTGACTCAAGGGCTTTATCAATTTTTCACAGGTTTCACCGGCACAAGTTTATATGAACAATGGACACTGTCATTCTATAACACGTTATTTTCTTCGTTACCTGTCATTGTAATTGGGATGTTTGAAAAAGATTTAAAAAGAAAAACCTTACTCGCTTTTCCCGAGTTATATTCTATAGGTCAAACATGTTCTGCATTTAATCTGAAACAATTCTTTTCGTGGATGGGTGCAGCGGTATATCATGCGATAGTAGTGCTTGCTGCCCCATTTCTATTACATTCTTATTACTATGGCTTTGAAACACGACGAGATGGATCTCCACAATTATACGAATTAGGTCTACAAGTGTACACAGCCATAGTCTTTGTGGTCACGATAAAGATCGCATATCTCGAATGTCACAATTGGACCATCATCACACATCTCACCTCTTTTTTGACAATGCTCGGCTGGTTCCTCTATCAGACCCTATACTCGATAATGTACCCGTCGAGCACCAAAGGTGGAAACACTTATGATGTTCGTGGTACATTCCAGCATGTTGGCACACGACCCGAGTTCTGGGTCACAGTCATAATCACGGTTGCCATTGCGTTACTCCCAAATTATATAGTGAAGATTATCAAGACGATGACACTTCCCACCTATGTGGATATTTATCAAGCGAAGGAACGAGATCCCGATTTTCGAAAAAAGATTATTCAGTTGGAAAGTGGCTACGGTGTTGGTGCTGACGTTGGTGGAGATGATGATATTGATCATGACAAAGAATTTTCAAAGTTTAACGAGGATGGTGTTAGTAATACTACAACTAATAACGATAAACATGAATCTATAAATAATAACAACAACAATAATAGTAGTACTCAACAGCTACAAACAAAAGAGCCACAAACAACATCTACCACCTCACTACTAAATAACGGCAATAGTACAGACCGTGAATAATGTATTTTTTTTTTGTTTTGTTCAGAATAATCATTCGTCATAGAATGAAAATATAATATTTCTTTTTGTAAAATATAAAGATATATAATAGATATATCGAGAATTTTTTTAACATGCATTTTTTTGAAGACATCTTTTTTAGTTAGATTCATTACTACATAAAAAAACCTCATGCACATTGAAATTTCACTTTTGGCCACATAATAAATTGAAATTGTTGATTTTTATAATATAGATCAAAAACTATATATAAATTTTTGGCGAAATCGAATAAATAATCAATCGATCAACCTCAGATTATTAGATCAAACGAATTAACCCCCAAACTCGCTAAAAGTACTCAAATATCTTTATCATTCATGAAAAAAGCATTTACTTTTTTCATTGTTGCACGTGATGGATTTGCCTTTTTGTTTCAAAAGTAAATCGTTAAAATGTGACTAAATGATAATAATCAAATTCATTTAAATACCTTATTACGATAAGAAATAATAAAGAAAAGACGTCGTTGAATGAGATCCTTTGTAACCACTTTAAAATCTTTATGTGAGCAAATAATACTCGAAAAAGAAGAAATCTATAATTGTACCTTCACGATCGATTCCATCTTCTATACACTTTTCTAAAGAAATGCATAATAAAAAAAATCAAATTTACAACTTCAACTCCCAAATCATCAAAATAAAATCGACAGACCATTATCATCAAAATAATTGACCAAAATTGCCAATGCAATTCCAACGCTTCGATCAATTCCCTGTTCACAATGAATTAAGATTCGTCGATGTTCCAAGAGTGGTATCCTTAAATAGTCTAGAGCTTTTGGAATCATTTCAAATAAGACATGTTGTCCTTTTTTGCCTTCTGGAATCGGTAGTTGGATATAATTTGCTTTATCGCTGGAGCTTATATCTGTGGATTGGGTTATTGTTGATGAGTTAGTAGAGGAGGTGTTGTATCCATGAGGGGTGCAATTTACTATGTAATCAAAATACTGCCAGCATAATGGTGGACAACCTTATCAGTTATTTAACATTATATATTAGTGGTTGACGAAATAAATTATTTTAATTGATCAATAATGAGATGTGAATAAATATATAGGCTATACCACTTTTTCGATTGCCAATAGCAATATTAGTGTTTCCCAAAAAATTAAATGAATCACCATTAATTAAAGGTGACTTGAGAGATTCAACTTTAGCATATTCCACTATTTCCCTTACTTTTCTTTCACATCGAATTGGGTCTAAATAAGAATTATCTAGAATCTCTTTACGATGCTTCCAAAACAGCGAAGGTGTCAGTCCCTATATTAATGTATAATAAACAATTAAAAACTTTGATTTCAAAATGGGGGTTTTTTTGTTTTTGTTTATTCACCAATGACCACGTCTCCTGATCATCTGCAGCACCCTGAATATACTGGTACCCTTGTCGGGATTCCATTCCCATTGTTACCATTTGTGACGCGCTGAGACAAATTACCGGATAGAATGGCAAACTGGTATAATCTGGCAGCAGCTCACTATCAAAAATATTTGAATCGGAGGTTATCCAGAGAGGGCGTAATGGCTTTGAAAGTTTCTCCAGGTATTTGGTAACATTCAATTTAGGATCCTTTATCAATAAATTAATTAGATTTTATACCAGAATTATTTATTTAGTTTTGTTGGTTAAATTGATTTATTTACCAATAGTTTTTCAACAAACTCAGGTATTCGAGAAGCGATTTGATCATGCTCTGATTTTGAGACGGTTGATGGAGGTGAATGGAATTCAATGTCCCATTCTTTATCATTATCCTTTGTATGATCACTGTCAATATACTGCTTTTTTCTACGCAATGTTGCAATCGCTTGATTTATTGTACAACACCAAATTGGGATTGTCTTTGACAAGGAATCAGGAATTCTTTTTCCACGGCGTGTAGAATCAACTATAATACATCTATTCAAAAAATTCATGAGTTTTTAGAACCGAACAAAACAAAAAAGATAAAAAATTACGTACCCACCATGTTCAGAGATAATATCCAATAAATGGCTATTAAATCGACGTATATTGAAGCTCCATTTACCGGTATGCCCATCAGTAGATTTGAAATATACTGTTTTTAGAGATATCTAAAAAAAATTATTATTTACTTATTTATTTAAACAGTGAAGAACGCGAGTTCAAATTTGAATATTTTTTGGTACCCGTTTGGAATCAATATACCAGGTACCGCATCTCTCGTTTGCTTTTTTTGTTTTTAGATAATATTTTAATAAAATTAAATTAAGAATAAAAATGAGAATAATCTATGTATAAAATCTACCAATAATCGGCAAATAAGGTATCATCGAAGCTACTTTATTAACAAACTTTGCGTCTTCATCGATTGAGCTTAATCTGTTATAACTAGGTAATAAAGTTTTATTTATTCCATTTGTTCATTGATAGGTTAATACCCATTACAAAATTTCTTATGGAAAACGCAAATCAAATTGATTTTTGAATTTATTAAATACATACATATTCTTTGTATCTTTACGTATTTCTTCAGTATCATGATGTAAATCGCCAACATCGATATCTGGGGATCTAAAAATAATATCTTCTGTAACTATTGTCGTCGTTGTATTTTCCATCTTTAACTAAATATTTAATTGGCGATCGACAGAATTTCGTTTCTCAAATGCGGCTAAAGCCTGATGGACATGTGATGCGTGTTTATCACAGTGTTAAAGATTGATTTAGTAGCGTTAGGGTTAGGGTAGGGTGAAGGACTAGGTATATGTAAAATTGCCTCCCCGACGTTTTTAATTAGTGCTCCAAGATAGATTAAAGCATACATTTTCCATATTTTTCATTTTTACGTTCGTGCTTCGGATTTGTTTTCCGGGTTGATCAAAATTTACGCATTATTATTGGCTTGTTTCTTGAACAGATCACTGGATCCACCAGGCTTTAGCCAACTCCTCAAATGCAACATTGCTAATTGTGCTACCAAATAAGAGTTGCAGATATATGTCTTAAAACTTTTTGTCATGAATCAAATTCAGTACAGCAAGACATCCAATTTTAATAATTTAATAATTAATAATTATATAAAAAATTCCTCTTACAAATTATTTTAAAAAGTTATAATTTTATTAATAAAAATAAAAAATTCTGATTGGTTAGATTGATTATCATGTATAAGATCTATAATTAAAATGGTATTTTTGGTGCAGTATTGAATGTTTTTTGTTGTTCTGCATTATATTATGTTAGACATTTAAATATGTAAAAGATAAATATATATGTCATAAGTTGAAATAAAATCTGTGTTGATTTTGAACCAATCTAGATTAATTTCAAATTAAATATCAATTTAATATAACTTTATCAATATTAGTTATTAATATAAAATATATTATGCCAAATTGTAGCTATTATTAAGTATTACAAATTTATTTAGAAAATTTATTTTGAGTTAATTAAAATATCTAAATTTTATATTAATATAAAAGTTTCAATTTTTAATAAAAAGTATATATAGTCAAATTTCTTTATAGTTATCACTTTTGAAAAAGCAAAATTTGATGAGTATAAAGGTAATATGATTATAGAGAAATTTTTTTATTATATTTATATATAAATAAAAAAGTATAATAGAATAATTATAGAATAATATGACTATAAATAAATATGATTACAGAAAAATTTGATTGTATTATAATTTAAATAAATTTATAATTCATATAATTTATATAATTTCAAATTATATCTAGTTTTTCAAGTTTAATAATATTAAAAAACTATACTATAAATATAATAAAATAAGTTCTTCTCTTTCAGATTTATTATTTAATTTTTTAAATTATATTATATTTTATAAAGTTATTAAAATTTAAAATCAATTATTAATTTTTAATTTCAAATATTGGTTAGTTAGCTTTTGATCAATTAGCAATTATTAAAATTATATTATTACACGTTAATATAATCATGAATTATTAAAATATAATGAACTTATCATTCTTAGAATAATTTTTCAATCAATATTAATTAAATTTTTAAGTAATTGTTTTTCTAATAACAATAATTTTTAGATATTATTCAATATTTTTTAAGATATTTGTTTTTTGTATTTTTGCATTTTTCTTTTTTTTAAATTTTTTGATATATGACTTCTATTTTAATTTTTTTGTTTATAATTTAATTTTTATATTTATGAATAAACTTTTAAAATTGCACAAAAAATTTTAATAATATTAAGTTTATATATATCTTTTTTTGATTTTTTTAAAATTAATAAAGTTAAAGCATATAACTAAAAATATGTGTATATTAATCAATAAAATTTAATTATGCAAATAAAGTATATAAAGATTATTATTTAAAATTTCGAACTAATTTATATTTTGAAAATTATAAATAGTTTATATTATAGTTACAATTTAATATAATATATTTTATATTGATAATTAGTATTAATAATATTATATTAAATTTATTAATATTTAATTTGGAATTAATTTGGAATTAATACAGATTTTATAATATATATATATGTATTTAAATTGAAAAAAAATATAAAGACTAAAATATATATAAATTTTTTATTTCTTTATAATTAAAGTATTATTATTTGTTATTTTTTCTTAAATACTTTTTTCAAGAATTAACTATAATAAAAATATTTTATTATAAATATATTTATTATAAAATTATATTATAGTTATATTATAGTTATATTTATAAAAATTATTATTAGATCTAATAATATTATATATAAAATATATAATTTTGCAAAAAATTTACAATTAATATTAATATAATAAATCTTTTTATTTTTATTATATTGTTTAATAAATTAATAAATCTATTATAATAAATAAAATTTATATAATATTATTTATAACTAGTTTCAAAAAATAATCTATTATAAATTAAATTTATTATATTGATCATTTATTATATTGATATTATTATAATTAGATTTCTAATGAATTATATTATAAGTATTCAATTAATATCTGATAATAATAATTTTATAGTTACTCAATCTCAATATAATTAGTATACTTTAAAATTATTACACAATATGTTTTCTTCTATTTGTTAATTAGACTTTTACTATTACTAATAGATATTATATTTACTTAGTATAAAATAATTCTATATTAATATTCTATAGTAATTTTAACAATTATTTAATAGTGTATAATAAATATAAGTATTTAATAAGTTATTATTTAACTAATTAATATACAAATTTTATTAATAATAAACAAGGAATAATTTATTGACTAGCTAGATTTTGTATTAATCAATTAATACTTTTTTCAAAGTTTTAATTGTGCTTTATTCATAATAAATATTTTCTACTAATTAATATTATATTTAATTTAATTATAGTAAATATAATATATAATAAATATAATATATATGATAAATAAAGTATTTTAGCTAAATTTAATAAATATAATAAAAATAATATTCATAAAATATTTTTAAAACATTAAAAAATTATGGAATTATAGAATTATAGAATTTTATTTATAACAATGTTAATTATATATTTTTTTATAAAGATATTATTATATTTAAAATAACTTTATTAAAAATTAGAAATAATATAGTAACTAATAAATTATAAAATTATATATGTAATTTTATTAATAAAAATTGAAATTTTTAGCTTATATAAAAATTTTTAATTTTATTAATAAAAATTTTTTATTTTATATCAAAATATATATTTTTTAAATTTTATTTAACAAAATTATTTTAATTATGAAGTTATTGCAAAAATTTTTATAATTAATTTTATATTTTAATTAGAAAAATTTTTACAATAATCTTGTAATTAAAATAATTTTATTAAATAAAATCTAAAAAATTTAGAAAAAATATATGATAAAATATAATTTATAATTTTTATTTTAATTTAAAAATATTTATTAATAAAATTGAAACTTTTATATAAAATAAAAATAAAATTTTTATTATATTTTATTAATAAAATTATATATGTGATTTTATAATTTTTTTATTATATTTATATATAAATAAAAGAAATTTGATTATATTTATTATTTTTTTATAATTTTTCATTTAATTGTAAAATTATACTTGTTGTTATATAATTTCTTATTTTAATTATAAAGTTATACTGAATAATTTAATAAAAAAAATTATTAATATTTTATTTATTTATAATTATATTTATCTTTATTAAAGAAAATTTCTGAGCTTATTTTAACTATTCAACAAAATAAATACATATTATGTATTTTTAGTAATTTAATTATAATATCTTTAATTATTATATTATTTTTTTATCTAACTGAAATTATATTAAAGACATATTATATATTTGAAAGTTATAAAACCAACTAAAAACAATAATAATATTTGTTTTTTTAATCATAAAAAATAAAAATGAGTTTTATTTATTTTAAAATTATTAAATAAATTGATAATTTTGTTATTTATATATTATATAAATTATAATATATTTTTAATGTTGATATTGAAATTCTTTTTAATATATTTAGAATAACTTACAAAACTAATATATTACTTTCAAAATTTATTATTAAAATATAATAAAATTAAAAATTTTTATTAAAATATTATAAATTTATTTTAAATATTCACTAAAATCAAAATCCCAGATGGAAAAAGATCATAATCCAAATTGGAAAAATTATATTTGGATAATTATAATCTCAAACTCTGATCAAATTCCAAACTCTGGTCAAATTCCAAACTCTGATCAAATTCCAAATTCTGATCAAATTCCAAACTCTGATTAAATCCCAACTCTAATTAAATTTCAAATTTTAATTGGCTTAAATGCATTATTATTATATATTATTACTAATTAAAAAAGGATCACTTAAAATTCCATCTCTATCTATTCCTTCATCATTAATTTCATTCATATTAATGCAAAGTTTTAACCAAAAATGTGTGTTTTAAATTTAAAAAAAAATAGAAGATAAAAAATTCAAAAAGTTCAAGAAATAAGAAAAAAAACTTTTTTTAAAAATTAATAATTCAACCAATAATACACAAATATTTAATAAAAAATTAGATACAACCAAATTTTTACCAATAAAAAGATGAAAAAAACTATTTGCTTTTTTATAGACTGAAAAAAGAAAATAATAAGAAGTAAAGAACACATAACAACACAAAACTAGATTTTTTTGTAATACTATAAAACTAGATTTTTGTTGTAATACTACAAAACTAGATTTTTACTTTTTGATTGATCAAATATTATGTGAATAAAATTTGGAATTTGGAATTTTATCAACATTTGGGATTATAGTTGCTGTTCAAACCCAAAAAAAAATTGTTTGATCCAAAATCCCAAATTCCAATTGGGATTTGGAATTTGGAATTTTACCTATTCAAACTGGAAAAAATATGTTTGGACATATGGAATTTTAAATATTATTGGAAAATACCATTTTTCCTGGTATTTCCAGTATCCAAATCCCAGAGTTTGGACAGCAACTATAGATATGGTGCAAAAACTCTTAAATCGACTATATATTTTAATTTTAAAATACTACAACTCAATATAAAGACGAAATTTTCAAAATATGACTGGTAAATTTGTTTTTTATAACAAGTTCTACAAAATTACTGATCAGATTTTGAAAATTTTGCCTCTATATTGAGTAATAGTATTTTAAAATTGAAACATATTGTCGATTTAAGAGTTTCTGCAGCATATCAAAATAAATTTATAATGTTTTAATGAAAAGTGGTGCATTACTCTTGTAAGTTACTATATGTATTATTATAAGTTAAAAGTATATGTACAGTGGATTACCAAAAATTTTATATTGAAATTTTCATTTTTATTATGAAATATTACTGTAGCATATAAGTTTTTTGAATTTTTAAATTTAATTAGGAAACAATTTCTGAATGCAAGTGAGTGTAATAATTAAATTTGCGTTTTATCCATAAAAAATTTTACACTCATTTTGCAATCAAAAATTATTCTTTCTTCTCATATAGAATAAAAATATTTCAGAATAAAAATGAAAATTTCAATTATTGCGAGAAAACTTTTTTATTAATTTTTGGGGTGGTCGGTCATTTTTGGTAACCCACTGTATGTAAATTTGAATTATGTATTTTTCTAGTAAAATGAATAAAACAAGATTCACGGTGCAATTTTTGAACTAAATTAATAGCTTTGAGGTTAAAATAAGGTTTAAATTTGTTTCTCAAGGGGGGCTTGGCAAAATACGGCACTATCATTTTTATCATTGACCTTTAGGCACGCAAATTTCGGGAATGTAGTATTAGTATTGTACGTTTTCCAATATTGGCGTCTAAAGTTTGTAGCGCTATATTTTCGAGAAGTGCAAGACTTGTATGGCGATTGTTATCCAATAAATTGAAATTTAGTTGGGAACACCTATATTATATTGAAGTTTGACTGTGGAATCGATTTATTGATGACAACCTTTTAAAAAATAGCGCTTTACATTGTATCTTACACATCTTTCTTTTATTTTCAACTTCATATCGTCAGTTATAAAATGCGATGGATGGTTGGAAAATGGCGTGAGTTGACAGCTCAAACGCGTAAAGACGTATGTTTGTAGCCTATCTGTGGTGGTCTGTTATAGAACTATTCACCTCATTCTTCAGACACTGGAATCGTAACATTAATGCTGGTTGTAATATCCGCCGCGACTTCCTCTCATAACGAAGACCGTCGCGAAATATCCATGAGAAGGTAATGACGGTACGATGTAAATAATGGATCAACGACCCCATGTCTATGACGGAGCGTTAGTCTTGGTTGTAATGGGTGGTGGGACTATTATTCAGCAGATTCGGTTTATTTATGTGCTCGAAGCTTGAGTAGTTTCAAAAATGAAATGATCCAAAAAATTCAACAAGAATATCTATCGCTATTTGATTTGATTGTTTTTCAAATTAGGAAATCATGTTTTTCATGATTGATCGGTTATTTGTGTATTGTATCTAATTCGGATAACAAAAAAGAAATAATTAGAATGTGTTGTTGGAATTGACCGAATTGCACATGTACGCGCGTTTTCGAGTTTCGTGTCATATAAACGTATATGATCTGCTGTGTCTCGGTCGAACAAAAAATGCATGTAGTCATTAGACAGTGCTTTAAACCCTTATAACACGAAAAAATTTACCTTATTTGGATATGTAGTATTTATTTATTAAGATAACCACACTTTTTTCAAAAAAAAAAAAAACGTAAAGTCAATCAGATCCGTTAGTTTTTAGGATTCGTTCATTCTCTTCATTCTCTCTGTGGTGGTTTTTCCTCTCTTTCCTTCCTTTATTTAACTCCTAATCTCATTCTTCCCTCACTTTGATTTATTCTATTTGTTAAAGATAAACCATAATAAAATTTTAGATCTTATTACTGTTCTCTTCCTGCTACTTCGGTCTTTTTTCTCAAGAAAAAGAAGAGACCGACAGGGAAAAGTAGCAAGACGAGAGACGTTAGGAACTAGGGTTTTCTCTTTCCCGTTTTTTCTCTTCTCACTTTTCGCTGCGTGTGTGTGTAAATTGGGAAGCTAATATTTAACCTTTTATATTTGTAATTACTAAATAGAAGACTGAACGCTGCGCGTCTTTAAAAACACATTTCTTGTTAATATAAAAAGTAGATTATGATCTTTTAAAACAATTATATTAGAAAATTGCGGTTAGTACGTGTCATTTAACCGCGTGAAATCATAATTAATATCCCACGGGTTCTCGTCATTGTCACATACATTGTCATATCATCAATCAATCAAAATCATCAATCAGCCTAGCCTTTTATATTTACCCTTAAACAAATCATACATAAAATGGCTTCAAATCTTCCTCCTCAGCACCACCAACCACATATAAATCAACCACCACAAACATATCGACCAGAAATATATAATCGTGTTGGAAATAGTAATACCAACATGAACAATTTCGGGCACCAGCCACCTAATACTTCTGTGCTACCAAATAATAATGATGACGCGTATGATGGTATAATACGTGATGATCACGATAATGATGACAATAATAATTCTCGTAATCTCAATAACAATAATGCGTCATTAGCTCCTCCTATTAATCCTTATTATCGTCCAGATAGCCCTGTTCCCCCTTCAAGTAGAACCTCATTAGATAGTAACGACCAATTATTTAGTGGATTTAGTGCAGATAATGCAGCATCGCCTAATTATGGTAGTACTAATAAAGTTGCGACCGATAATCCGAAATCAGAACCACGAATATCACGCGATGATCACGAGTTTATGAATGTGGGAGAAGAAGATCCAAAGAAAGATACAAAAATTAAAGGGTTCTTGAAAAATAGAAAGAAAGCATGTTGTTTTCTTTGTTGTGGAGTATCTATAATTATCGCTGCTATTATGATCCCAGTGGCAATCTTTGTGATTGCTCCCGCGATTGCTCAAGGTGCTGTCACGGGATCAAAATTATCTTTTTCGAGCGCTAATCTAACAAATCTCACCGAAGATGCTTTTTTGATGAAAGTCAATGGAAAAGGTAAATAAATAAAATTAACCTAATTCAGATTCACTTAATTTCTTATCACTCACCTCTTAATAATAAACACAATAGTAACTAGCACTGGACCTATGGCCGCAACAATCGATGTTCCTGATGGTGTGGAAGTTTCATGGAACGGACTTGTATTGGGTAGATTACCATTAGACACAATTTCGGCTGCTCCATTCGTCGGTGCTGACATAGATTCATCACAAACATTTACTATTTCGAATAAGACTGCTTTCGGCGAATTCAATAAATTCATGTTGACCTCAAAAGAATTCACCTGGCATTTGGAAGGACTCGCAAATGTGAGAGCTGCCGGTTTAAGTCTGAAAGGAATTCGACTTAGTAAAGATGTGAAAATGGATGGAATGGCAAATTTCCCCGATGTCAGCATTAAAACTTTCGATGCTCCCTCTGATCATCCAGCTGGCGGTATTACTGTCCAAATTCTCTCGATTATGGTTAATCCGTCACCAATTGGCGTAGAATTGGGAGATCTTGAATTCGATGTTCTATATAATAATCAAAAAATCGGAGAAGTAACCTCTAGTAATGTCACTCTTGGCAAAGGTGCTAATGCACTCAATCTAAATGGCCGATTGATTCCACAAAACACTTCAGCAGGATTAGCGGCTGTCAGTGAAATGTTTTCGAAATATATTGCTGGAGAAAATGCAAACACGTCCGTGCTAGCAAAAACTGTTAAACCGAGTAAAAATAACAATAGCAGTAATGATACAACTCCAATCTCTTGGTTGCAATCTGCTTTTGTGGGAACAACTTTGTCCGTGGTATTACGTGGGGCACAAAATCTAACCGTGATTAATAGCGTAGATTTAAAAACCATGGATCTAACATTCAGTAAAGATAAAGCCTACTCACCTATCGCACAATCTGATGCATTATCTGCATCATTCAAAATCCCATTCGGTTTTCAATTGAATATGAAAAAAATTTCTCAGGACATCACAATTTATGGTGGATCAAATGCTCTTGCCACCCTTTCGACACCTTACACGGACGCTAATGGGGATTCGAGTGTCGGTAAAATTGATTCAAAGATTCCACCAACTCCGTTTGACGTGATTAAAGGATCAGAATCCAATTTCCAAGAATTCAGTAGACATCTTACGATGGACTCATCAGTGGTAATGACAATGAAAGGCAAAGCAAGTTCAATTGCGTCAACTTCAATCGGTGAAGTAGAAATTAAAGGGATTAAATTCATTGTGGATACACAACTCCAAGGTCTACAAGGATTACAAGTTAAACCAGCCACGATCAATTCATTGAGTGTAACGGGTGGAACTAAAGATTACATGATCATTAAACTATCGGTCACCTTATTTAATCCATCAAATGTAAAAATCTCGATGGGCGATGTAATTCTTGATCTTTATTACCATGATCAAAATGTTGGTCAAGTGCTTATGAATAATTTTGTCCTTGATCGTGGATCTAATACCGTTGACTTAATTACTCATTTCGGTCCAAACGGTGACAAAGCACTTGCAGCTGGGCGTATTCTTCTCAATACATTCATGAAGGGTGATAGTAATACAGTTGGAATTCAAGGAAGTCCTCACTCAACAGAAATCGAAAGTCTAAAAAAAGCTCTTGTTGATCTAAAATTATCGACTTCGATGCCAGGTCTCAAAGCGGAACAACCAATTCTCGTGAAGTCACGATTCACCATCAATTTAGGAACAGTATTCACGAAAAAGGGCACTGCCTCGGTTGACGCTTACAATCCACTCGACACCACCATCAAGTTTTTGAAAATGAAGGCCACAATCACATTTAAAGGGCAAATTATCGGAACATTGGACCAAGATCTGACTGGCTCACCTATTGTTATACCACCCAAAAAAGTAGCGACTACTCGCGATTTGGATTTGAACCTACAAATTAGTCTTACCGCTATTCAAAGTTTATTCGCTGGTATTTCTGGAGATCTTGCTACCGATATCACGTCTACCATTGTTCTAGCTATTGGTGATTATGTCACTGAAATTGATTATGGTAAGAATTTTAGTTTGGTAAATTACTTTTATTTATATTCGTGAATTTTACTAAGCTTGACTTTTTTTTAATTTAGCTCAAAATCAAGTCCCTACCGGTTTAGGCCACGGTTCAAACCAAAAATAATCTAATATTAAAAAAGATGGATCTTTTATTTTGCTATTCTTTTTTCACTTTTTTTTATTATTCATAATTCTTTTTTTTTTAATAACCTGTAGATTTAAGCAATCGTTATATCATAATAATACTTAAAGTAAAATCGCTTTTTATATTTGTAATTCACAATATTTCTTTTGCCTCCCCTAATAAAATCACCTTTTCCTTTTATTTCTGTTGTCTTAACCATAATTTCCTTTGTAATATACAATTCTCAAATACGTACATAGATAATTCTCTAGAAATAAATAATGAATGAAAAAACAGAAACAATGAACGAATCTCATAAACGCGCGAAAAGATGGATTTAGCAGCGGGATTTTCATTGTCTTTATAATAGATACTTTTGAGCTTCTTATTCTTGGAATTTGTAATTTTTTCAATAGAAAAATCTAGATACTATTTTGTGGAGTTGGCAACGTTAAAAAGAAACCCAAGAATATCAAGTCATATCCTCTTATATCTGGAACAAAAATTGGTGACCCTACGTTAATAAGTATTGTATGATCGAGCAAAGTATACTCTATATCCTGAGCCAATAGCGTAACCCTTAGTTAGTTTTGTCTTGTTCAAGTGTCTTTGCATTTCTTTAAATCAAAAAAATACAAACTGACATTTCATTATGACCATGATCGACACATGATCTCAAAAGGCCAAATGATTTTATATGACTAACCTATTAACAAAGAGCTTGATAACGAAAAATAATATAAATAGTACTTTATAACGTTAAGCGAAGCTTATTCCGAGGCCTTCGGTTTATCGAACTTTAACTGTATATCGGTAAACAAAATTTTTTGGTTTTCATAATGACCCGTAACTTCGGGACGCGATCTAATCATCATTCGATCCGTTTACTGAATCGCGTCCTGAAGTTACCGGACTAAAAAAATGATCGATTTTGATGCTTTTAGATTTCATAAACTGGCTTTGATGACCCGACTGGGTTATAACAACCGCATTTTAATTGGCTAACGCTAATTAGAACCTGAGTTAGGGTTAGGGTTAAGATTCTGGATATGTGATTGGTTAATATTGAAATTACTCATTCACCTTAATTTTGTCGAGAGTTACGAAGGACTTGGCCCTAATACGACCATCAGTAGCGCCAACAGAAAAACGAGAAATGGAAACAACAGTTTCTGGACAGCATACGAAGATAATCAACTTCGCGAACTTTACATAAAGTAATTAAAATGACGAAAAATACAAACAAGTTTAAATGTTTCGAATTTAGACATCCAAATAATTTCAGAAAAATAAAGGGAGAATTGAGTCGCACTCGAGTCGTAGCTGAGGTATGCAAGAAAAAGCTCTGTGCTTCTGCAAAAATAGCAAAAGCTATCGATCGAGTAAATTTTTGCTTTTTTTAATGTAACCGATACAAATAGATCAGAAAACGCGTCAAGGAACTAGGCTTGAAGAACAAGGAACGGAATACTAATATGAATATTGCCGTTGATTCACCTGTATCAACGGTAATCATGAATAATGGTAAAACGCTTTCATTGAATTCTTTAAATAAAATATAATATTAAAGCTTGGTATATTCTTTGATTTAGATTTTTGTGAATCGGAAAATCCAATTATCGTGGTTTCTCCAAATACTTCAACTCCAGACATGCCCATTTCAGTATCACCAGTTCAACGTCAAGGGGCATCTTTGTGAGTGTTATTTTGCTTTAAAATACAATTTCATCAAATTATTTGACACAAATCGCTCAATAACATAGAATGTAATTTATTTAGCGTAAATTTACAACCGCGCCCAATCGAAATATATCGCCTTCAGTCAAGCTTAAACGCGCAAGAAAATCGGCTAAAAGTGCGGGCAACGATCAAGAAATTGCACCTTCTCAACAAACCTGTCAACGTCATCTTTTGATCCAAATTTTGGTCAAACGAAACCTCCAATTTCGCGACAGAAAAATAGTGTAAAAAATACTAATATTGATGGTTCGACTCTTAAAGTTGACGAAAGTAAGATTCACGTTATCTCATCTTTGTAATAAATTTCTGTATTTTATAGATTAACTATGTCTTTTATTTAGAATTAGTAAAGGCAAGCATAAAATGCATAAGCAAATTTACTAAATCAATTTCAGAGAAAAAGATCCGCGTGATCCTCGGAAGGTAAATATCTTTTACTTCGTCATATTCTTTTTTAAAAGTATATTAGGCTAAAAGTATTATATTTTTAAACAAAATATGCTTTCAAACTCATTAAAGGTAAATATTATAAAATTTTTGTTGATTAAAAAAAAGAATAGTATTGAGTCCAATTTACTCCATATATTGTTGGTGATAGATTAAGAGAAAAAGCTGAAGGGGACAAAATCGATATATAAAGAGGTTTATGATTTTTTTGGGTAAAACGATGGATTTGGAAGCACCGAAATTGGAAGAGCTATCACAAAAGGGTAAGTATTCTTATTACAAAAATGAAATTTTAATGTTAATCAAAAAAAAATATTTATTTTCTTAAAGACACGAACATCACACAGAGAGCCCATATCACGGCACAACTCGAAAAGGTTATCAGAAAAGTAAAAGTAAACGCGACGAAAGACAATCCTCTAAATATTAATACGAGGACTGTGCATTTTAGATGGCCTCAAAACGAAGAAACTTATGCATCAGAGACGAAACAGGAGAGAATAGGTCAACAACAGGATCAACAAGATGAAGAGCAACAAGACGAATATCAACAAGGGGCAAAGAAACGAAAACGCACAAATAGTGCGAGTAAAAGAAAAAATAAAGAAAAAGAGGATCAGGATAAGGAAGGAGATCAAGATGAGGGTCGACTTGAAGAATCGGGTCAGTATGAAGCGATGGATACTTTAAATATATTTGGAAACGACAATTTTAGTGAGGGAAGTAGTAAGTACTGGGTGGCCAGTGAAACATTAGAGAAGAGGATAGAAGAGGATATCTTCATCGTCATCACCACACCGAATATTCCACATTGAAAGAATAAATTATATTTTAGCCGAGGCTTATAAAATTTGCAATATAATAATTTAGTCAATAAATGAATAGATCTATAAAATTAATAGGTCTATAAATTCGTTATTATTGATAAAAAATACTCACCATTAAACAATGTATTTTGCCCAATGGCTACCACTTTACCTGTCCCATTATTTCGAATAACAACAGTCATGTTTGCAAATTTCTTACCTACGCTTGATAGACTGCATTCGACACGAATAATATCCCCAGGAAATGCCGTTGATACATACGAGACTGTGAGATCGGTCGATACTCCGGTCCAACCATTCTTGTTACCTTTTTACATCATCATTATTATATATCGACACGCTTCGATAATGGAGGGAATATTTTGATTTTTTGTTTTATTTACCCATTAATGTCGCGACTGATAGCGTGTCCACGATACTAGCAATACACCCACCGTGCAAATTACCCAAAAGATTACATTCTTCCTCGGTCACGTCAAACTCAAATACACTTTTCGTCTCGGTTGCTGATATTTTACGCATCCGACTCCAAAACTCTTTTAGAAAACTTTTTGGATAGTCTTTGCCAAATTCTATCCATTTCTCTATTCGGATATTTGCCTCGTTTTTTTCGTTGGTAAAAGAATTATTTGATTTTTTCGTGTTTGACATTTCCCGTGAATAAAAAATACTAGTGTTAAAAGATAATATCGATATGAATTCCCTTGTTTGACTCACGTGAATCTATAATCCCCGAACTTTATTAACAGGTTATTATGACTAGTTTATTACAGAATTAAATTATTATCTACAACAATCTCTTTCCTCCTACTTATTTTTCGATGTACAAAAATTAGTGTATACAATTCTAATTTCAAAAAAGTATTAAATTAATGCCAATAGTTTTTGGATAATAATTGGTGTTGTCGTCATATCGAATACAAATTAGTCAGCGTAATAATGATTCGGGCACATTCAATAGATGTCTCATTCGTTCTACCTTTACTTTCAGATATTGGTCTACTTCGTGACCGTGACGATTCGGATCGTGATCATGTTGCCAAGCGTGTGGAACCATCGGAATACGTTCAACAACTTTTATCAGACCATCTCCTTCGACCTGCTCAATTTTATCCGGATTGTTGGTGAGTAAACGAACTCTGGTCAAATTGAGATCAGCGAGAATTTGTGTTGCGATGTCATAATTTCTAAGGTCTGGTGGGTGATGCAACAAAAGGTTTGCTGTTACAGTGTCATGTCCTAAATCTTGTAAATTATAAGCTCTGTATTATTGATAATACGCGACATTATTAATATTAATTATGATATCATTGATCTTAGTTAGCCGATCATTGTTTACAATTTATAATGTCTAACCAATGGGCCGAGGTCCTTATGAACCCATTGGTTGGACATAATAAATTATTATAAAATTTAAACAATATAAAAATATTGGTCGATGTGTATATGGACAGTGATTAAACTAATTTACCGAAGTTTTTCTGCTAGACCAATACCACGACCTTCTTGTCGCAAATAAACAATAACTCCTCGACCTTCTGATTGTATTAATCTCATTGCCTCCTGTAATTGTTCACCACAATCACAACGAGCGCTCTGCACAGTTTCACCCGTAAAACATTCCGAATGAATTCTCACTAATGGAGGTGAAAGAAGCTGTTTTTGATTTTCCGTTATCGATGTAGATGACGACATCGACGATATCAATAATGATGATGAATCATCTGATCTCGTTTGTCCAGGTTTTAATCTTCCAATATATGCTCCGCGCATGATTCTATCCATCTCTGTTTCGCCAGGACGCGGAATATCTAAACTCTTACTACGAATGTCTTCACCATACACGACAGCCAAATGTTCTTTATTATCTCTATTGTTCCTGTAAAGATGCAAAAAAAATTCTCCAGTAGGAGTGGGAATACGCGCTCGTACCAAACATTCTACCTTGCTCGGTATCTCTCCAGAAGCAAAAATTAATGAGGGAGGAGTAGCTGGTGGAAAAGGCTCAGAATTGCGCAAAATAAGTCGGTGATGAAAGAGAGTTACAACAACTTTTACGCCATTTGAGTAAGGTTTTTTTGCATTATTATTGGTCATGGAAGAGCGTCTCATCGTGGAAGAGACGAGGTGAGCGGAAGTAGAAGTGGTTAATGCTGATTGTGAAAGTAGTGGTGTCGTTGTTGTCGTCATGGTAGTTGTTACTCCTAATGTTGTGGCAGCAGTAGCAGTTGTCTGAGTTGGTATGGTAGTCGTTTTAAAAGCAGAAACATCAACAGGTTGAGCAAATAATGTCTCTTCTAATGAATGACGGCCCATAAATAAATTCTAGGTATTGTGAAAGATGGGAAGAGTATATAGAAATAAGCGAAACGGCCCGGATCTATTAATAATTTTCGAGATTTTTTTATTACACGTGGGCATTTATATATTGGGCATTTATATAGTGCGCATTTATATAGTATCGAAAAAAAAGCGATTAACAAAGATCAATCTTTCAATACCCTCAATCTTTTTATCGTTATTTTTAAACACCAATCATTTATTCTATTCTCATTAGTCATAAAGTATTTGTCATGGTCAGGATTTGTAAAAGTGGCAAAATTATTTCCTAGCCACATGGAAGAGTCGTACAAATCGTCATTTTCTAGCGCTAGTTGTTCCACTGTTTAACAGGCTTAAATAAATTGTCCAAAGGACACCAATTGAGCTGACGAAAGGAAGACGATATTGTAACGGGAGAAAACGAAAATTTAAGAGTTGAACAAGTGGCCAGACTGCGTAATTTGCTTTCAATGCTGGAAAATATGCCTACAAAAACAAACAAAAATTAATATCACACCGTATCAAATTGCGTATATTTTTACTTACCTCGGCAAATTTATCTTTGACCGCTTGTAATCCATTTGCTTCCATTAGTCCCATCACACCAAAGAACAAAGCCAAGCCAACTGGCGCGAATGCTGTTTGGTCGACGATCATTCTTTTGAGTACGGTTCGCATCGTTTCTCGTCTAATTTGCGCATCATTTTTTCCCATAGCAATTTGCTGCGGGAATGGGAATCTTTTATCTAATAGGTTAAACCAATTATACACAACCGGCGCTATCAGGAACCCATATGTAGAATAGCGTGTAAGTCGAACATAATCGAATTGTTGTGATGTTTGAACTCCCGAGGTCATTGCCATTGGCGATTTTAGGATTGCGATCGATTGTGCGAGTGTATCCGATAAAGCCGCAAAACTTGCATTAGTACAAGCCATTGTGAACAATGGGTAGCTTTGATATTTTTGGTTGTAGAATCGGTTCGCTAGAACAAGAATGTTCGTAGTTGCCATTTTCTCTTCTCACTATAATAAAAGAATTTGAGAGTGAAGAGCAAAAAAAATTGGCTGTCTCTGGATTCTTAAATGTTTTCATGTTAAAAGTACAAGCGTGTTTTACCTATGATCGATCAACTAATCATACATATAGCGATAGCGATAGCGATAGAAAAATGATTGTTCAATGACGTAACAGAAGATGTCAAAAAAATTTAACAAATCGCTTGAAATAGCGATAGCGAATTTTTACTACATGTCCCGATCCATCGTTAAGTTGGGGGTCTGTCTCACCTCACAGTTGGTAAATTAAATGATTCGCCAACAATTCACGTGATGAACATTAAAATAAGCAAATTTCATTCTTGATGACTATAAATATCGATATCAATACTATTGCATTCACATAACTAAGCCTTAATTTTAACCAAGACACACCATTTCTACCATTAACATTTATTAACATTTTTATTTGTTATAATAATAAAGTAGCCAGTATAATACAAATAAAATGCGACGTAAATTAGCATTTCGTTCTAATGTATGGGATCCTCTTCTCATCATCCCACAGGTAAAGGAGGACACGTTTAAAGACACGTTTTCTTGCTTTAAGAATAAAGCTAATTTTGTAATTCTTATTCTTTATAGATTATTGCACTTCAAGCCTTATATTATACTTCTATATCTATTATAGTTCTCTTTACATTATTAATAACGGGGAATGATATTACATTAGACCATCTGTTAGACTATCGAGAGTTTCGTGGGGACACGGTGCTTGGGTGGACATTGGGTTTCGCATGGATCTCAAATTCAGTTGTCGGGTTAGTTCAGCATTAATCTAATCAATCAGTTGGTTGTTTCTTTTTATCAATTCGCTCATATCTATCGTTAATATGGGTAATAGAATATATTTACTGATACGAGTAGTTCAACGAGCAAAACTCGTATTAGACTTCACCATAACACTACACTTTTTCCACCTAATAATCACGAGTTACTATTCAGGTCATATACCGACAACATTTGTCTGGTGGGCAATAAACGTGACCACGTGTTGTATAATGATATTTGGCGGTGAATTGTATTGTATGCGAAAAGAGATGGAACCGATTATGTTGGGTGGAGGAAATGGTGGTGATGGTGAAGGCGTAACAAGCGCAAGTGGTGGTGGTGGTGGTGGTGGAAGTAGTACTGCTCCGATAAAGAATAAAAAGAGTGCTGAAGTGGATCGAGATCGATATGAAATGGTCCCGATGGAAGAAATTGAAGTTGGTGGTTGATGAGGATTTTTCTGTTTTATTTTTTTTTTGAATTTATTATTACTGAATGACAAGAGAAAATGGACTCTTTTTTCGTATATATATTTTTTGCATTAATGTTAGGCTGTATGTATGAATAATAATCATGTGTGCGAGAGTATTTCGTTTGCAATTATTTTTTGTTTTATTATGTACATGTAGATTCCACCAACTAAAATAGATAATGCTTTAACGCGCGTAAAATTTGTATCAAGTTTATTTTTTTGTTGAGAAAATTATTATTTAATCTCGATATGGAAATTGCTATTATCTATTTTTGAACATTGTTCAGTGCATTTATTTTCTCGTGCAACGATGCTTTATAACCTCTTGCAATGAAATTACGTATCTTTTTTGTTAGCTATCATGATATAGATCAAAAAATTATATCGCAAATTGGTTTAACTTTCTTCTCAATATGTGTAGTATTTATTAACTCTCATTCTGCGTAGCGCAACTTTCTCTCAATACTTCTAACCAATACACAGCGGAAATTCTAGTACACACTCAAATATAAATGTATACTTGTGTTAGGAAAGTCAACGAGATACGTCATACATTCTCAAGATATATGGTATGGTGTTTGGTAACCCTTTTTTTGTACGAGTTGCACATTTTAGTCACCTAATCAAAAAAACCGGTTTTTCATTCCTAATAGATTTATATAAAATCTCGCAATAATTACGATAAATCAAATCGAGGAAATAACATAATGTCCGAAGACGACGGCCAAAGCATAAAATTCTATGGATCACATAACAATTATGGGGAATTCAGTAATTTCTATCCATCCTCAATTGAGATCGATGGGGAAATATGGCCAACCACCGAACATTATTTTCAAGGTATATTTTTGTTCTCATTATATTTTATCTAATCATACTTACAATCATATTATCCAAACATGATTGATAATAACAAAAAAATCAACAACAGCCCAAAAATTTATATCAGATCCATTCATCGTAGCCACAATCAGAAATTTCTCGACACCAAACGAAGCAGCAAAAGAAGGACGTCGTCGAGACTTGCCACTACGCAGCGATTGGGAATCTATAAAAGAATCGGTAATGATGGTGGCATTGCGCGCAAAATTCACACAACATCCACGACTACATCGCCTATTATTGAGCACAGGTGATAAGAAAATTATCGAGCATACGAAAAATGATCGGTATTGGGGAGATGGTGGTGGTCCTGGTCAAGGAAAGAATCGACTTGGTATTTTATTGATGGAGTTAAGAAGTGAATTGAAAGAGAATGAAAATGAAAGTAAAATTGAAAATAAAAATAATGAAGGTGCAAAAAATGATGAGAATAAAACTAAGATTTAATGCGAAATGGCGGAATCAACGTCAAAAATCGCACGGAATCAACGTCGCAAATGAGATCTAACATTCGAAAAGCATTGAAATAGATAGTCATAGTGTTATTGCATCCAATAGCATTTATTAATAATTCACAGATCATGACTCGAAATTTGATGTTATAGTTATTATCATAGCGAGTCTATTATAGGAAAAATCTGAATCAAGAATGTTACTGTGACTATTGATAAATACCTTTTTTGTACAAGTGCACACTTTAGTCACCTAGTCAAAAAACCGGGGTTTCATTTCTAATATATTTACAATCTCGTAATAGTTAATAAATAAATCAATAAAATAATGTCCGATAAAAGCATAAAATTCTAGACAGAATGACAATTATGTGGAATTCAGTAATTTATATCCATCCCCAATTGAGATCGATGAGAAATATGGCCAACCACCGAATATTATTTTCAAGGTATATTTTTATTCTCATTATATTTTATCTAATCGTACTTACAATCATATCATGATTGATAATAACAAAAATCAACAACAGCTCAAAAATTCATATCAGATCCATTCATCGTAACCCGAATCAGAAATATCTCGACACCAAACAAAGCAGCAAGAGAAGGATGTTGCCAAGACTTGCCACTACGCAGCGACTGGGAATCTGTAAAAGAATCGGTAATGACGGTGGCATTACGCGCAAAATTCATACGATATCCATAGTTATGTTATGTGTTATTGATAAGAGAATTATCAAGCATACGAAGCATGATCAGTATTGGGCAGATTGTGATATGCTTGGTCAAGGACAGAATCGACTTGGTATTTTATTGATGCAGTTAAGAAGTGAATTGAGAGAAGTCGAAAAGAGTGATGAGTATGATGAAAATGAAAGTAGTGGTGATGATGATGATGATTAGGATGTTGACGATGATATGTGATATGATGATATAATGATAATGATAATAAAGATAATGCAAATGTAAAATATAATATTGAATGAAAAGGATATTGGCATAATAATTGTTATTAAGAATTTATATGTTTTGTAAATAAATAATTATATACTACAATCAAAAATGAGGACGGAGACGGAGAAATTACGAAGATGATTTGCCGTTATTGTTAGTGTTATTGAGTTCTTCCTCTTCTATATCGGGCACGGGAAAAGTTAATATTGCTGCCACTCCTGTTAGCTGGTTAAGATCTTTTAAAGATAAAAACCGGCAATAGATCGTCAACAACGAAAAATGTGTCAAAAATAGATAGCAATAATAGTTAAATGACATACTTTCCCCGGACACATGCAAACTAGAGAATATCAGTACTTTGCCTCCATTACTTCGTATAGATTTCACCAACTCTATATATTTTTTACGTGTAGCAATATCTGCAGACCTATTAGATAACAATACATATTCAGCACATTTTGCAAGTTCAAATTCGAAAAGAAATTATGAGATTATAACATTACCTAAACAGCTCATCACTAAGCATCAAAGTACCAATCGCGCCCAATTCCCCAGCCTTACTAACATGTTCCCACCCATAGAATGCCCTATCAGGATCATCGTTCAACATTTTAAAAAACTTGTCTAAAGTCGTCATTTCTTGTGCGTACTTTGTGTCGGCTAGTTGTGACTGGACGGTTGGATCTTGCATCACTTCTTGCAATGAGTGTCTATGACCCGACGAGCAATGTATTAGTAAAAATTTTGATTTGTTTTCTAGTAGGGTTTTGTTATCTGATTTCTGTTATTTTGTATTGTTCGAAAATAATGGTGTGTATTTTTTTAGTGGCACATAAATTGTTGTTAATCCATAATAAATAAAGAAATTCTATTGTAATTACCACAGCTTCGGCAAAAACATATTCAAAGAGTTGATCCTAGAAAGAGAGATTCGTTCTTTAAATTAATAATCAGTTAGCTCATTGTAATCAATATCTCTTCTTACCTTGACAAAACCGGGACTTGCTATTATCACTACTTTGACCACATCAAAATTGACATGTCGTATTATCGATTGCATGACTTGCTCGTAAAATTTATATAATCCCTAATAGACAGATATATAGTAAAAAAAAAAGAAGATGTAATAAACTTATGAATGAATGAAATTTCGAGAATAAAAATGAATACAAACCTTCTCATAATTTGTCACTGATCCTTTTCGCTTCCTCGGAACTGGACTTTCTATTCGCTGACGTACAATAGTCATGTTTTGTGTGACAAGACACACGTTAGCTAACCCTGAAAAAAAGAATAATGAAATATTTTCATTAACAATATGATATGTGTCCCAACGAAAATAATAATATGATACAAAAACTCGAAAATAACCAGCCAGATAACTACCTTCTTGCAAGACCACAGCAGCCACATCTGCAGTTTTAGTAACATCGCAAGCTTCTTCTACCCGTTCGAGTGCAATTATATCCCATTCACCCTTGATTAATGTGAAATTTCGGTTAAGCTCTAGATCTATAGTATGATACATGCCCATCTATCACAAGATCAAAAAATTAGAAAACAATAAGTTATTATCGAACTTTGACACCTGAATTTTAAAGTCAAAATTGTACCTTGACATATTTATTCTCCATCACATTTCTACCCCTTATTCGTAATAAACCGCCTTGAGGATCAAAGTCTATTTTATCCACACTTATTTTTAATGTTAGCCTGACGCGTTGCGAGTCCACAGACCCTGTGGTACTTTCGGTTTGAACACGTCTACTCCCGGAGAAAATTTGAGATTAATCAAGAATGAACTATTTGAAAATGGAAAGATCAGGTACTCTCATGCCTTATTGTTGTCGCCTTCAATTGGTCCCCTACAGAAACTAGGTTGTATACATGCCACATGTCTTCCAACTCTTCTGGGTAAAGGACGACGTATCCCTATCAGAACCGTGTGAATCTTAATGAAACAATGCATTTTTAACAACATAACAAAATAATATAATTACTGAACGGTCTCTTTCAATGTGCTTTTTAATTAATTTCATGTTTTGAAGTGGATTTCTGCGTAATATGGCATGTAGAAATTGTAGAAATACATTTTACAGATCGACCAACTTTTATCAATGATGTCATAAATTAATGTCATTAGAAGTTGTTCTATATTATGTAGATCATCAAGGTTCCCTTTTGTCTTATCAATTCTTTCTGTTGCTGTTCTTCGAGCTATTAATGTTCGAATATGGACACTCTTTCACCGACAACACAAGAAGACAGAGGTTTTAACCTTGCCGTTAATAGATTACCACCTTCGTAAGCTCTTGACCTTAGTTTTCATTCTTTTCTCGCTAGATTTGTAAGTTTCCATGCACATAAATTGTTTTTCAATTAGTTACGAACACAGGCCACCACCTCCATTGCCACCACTTCCTGAATGGGATCGCCAAAGCACAATTTCACATGCGAATAATCTAGCAAAACAGTCAATTATAGCTGAAGAGTTCCCAATATTACTAGAGAAAAGGCATGTAGTTTTATTTAATAATTCCGATGTAGTCAGAGAAAGGTTGAAAAATGCTAAATCCAATTCTGAATCTATATCTAGTAAAGAAGAATTGAATGATCTGGCACATAATGATATTATTTTTGACTCATTCTTTGAGGGGTCAGACCGGGTGAAAAACATGGGTGCGCTAATTGACGAAATGAGGACGGCTAATGAGATGTTGGCAAGTACGGCTGGAGATGCATTTTCTCATTCTCAAACACTTTTATTGTAAATATTATTACGTTAATTTTTGAAAGAGAAGAGAATTGTCTGACACGTTGCCTCCACACTCAACGTACCTGCTCCTATTACTACAATTTATAAAGAAAAAACGCTTGCACGCGAACCAGAATTAATTCAACTTCGTCAGTCCGTTTTAGATCATGAGAGAATGCTTAGAGAGTTAAATGAGGAATTCCATGAAAAGCTTAAAGTTCAGAAGGATGCATTACGTGTATGTAATTTTCATTCTCTTCCATTCTCATTATAAATACCAACAAATACATGATTAATTAATCTTTAATATTAATGATGATGATGATTATTATGATGATGATGGTGATGAATAGCGTTTTTCTCCGACTATTCTTCTCTCTAAGCTGAAATCCGAGGTACAACTATCGGATGAATTGTCAGAACAGATGGCAAATTCATTTTTAGAGGGTGGACTAGAGAATGATTTGTTTTTGAAACATTTCCGGGAGGTCAGAAAGGTGTTTCATCTGAGAAATGCTAAAGTAGAGAGAGTGAACAGTCAACCGGGAATTTTGGGACCCTGATACTTTTTATATAAACACACATCACACCACAGCGTTGCCTCACTATTGGACATTATCACTACCGCTATTTTTATTTTATGTTCGCAAATTTCTCACATCTATAATAATAATAATAAGAATAATAATAATACTATATATAATATCTGAAATGAGAAATATTTATTTGAGTAGGTAGTCAACTTTTTTTCATAGACTATTATTATTGTTAATTGTTGTTTTCGGTTAATTTTTTTATAAAGGAAGACAATTTTTGAGATATTAAAATATTTTTTATATCAACAGACAATAAAAAAAGAAGTGAAGCAAAAAACATCTCAATTAACAGACATATACTTCATTATTATGCAATGCTTGCTTTAAGGAAAGGAAAGGAAAGGAAAGGATGGGTGTAACGGGAAGAAGAAGAGTATATATTTCCCTCTTTCATTATAAGTGCAATAAATTACATATACGCGCAAACATCAAATCTTGGAAATTAACTGTCAATCTCCATGCGTTGTTGCTGCGGCTGCTTCTGCGTCTTTTTCTCCAGTATTTTTGAGACTTGTGCTTTGACTCTTGCACCCGGAGCCTGCACAAGTTCAATGTTGCGTTGTACCTCGGATATGAACTCGGCCTTTTCACGTTCCTTATTACCAGCCATCCTATAATTCATCAATGAATAATTAATAACAAAATAAGGTTCGATTGAAGACGATAAAATTAAGATTCGATTCGATTCGATCCAAACCTAAGTTTATAGAACGCGCGTTCTCTCTTTGCTCGAATCTCCGTGACCCGTTTCATTGCTTTCACTGTAGTATTCACTAGTTCGCGATCATAGCGTACAGGTATATTACGACGTTTTTCAAATTCGAATGTGCTATCCTGTTGATTTGTTTATTAACAATGATTTAATATCCATCAATGATGATCGATATGTATTATTTGAAAATGAACACGTACTATAGTCATTTCCTTTCCTGCAGCCTTTCTAAACGCTTTAGTCCACCGTACTTTGCGAGGGTTGCGTTTGTGCTTAAATGCCACACGGCATTTACTTCTGCAAAAACGAAAAACCTTTTTTAATATTAAAAAGTGAATAACGTGAATTTATTGAATAATACAGTCGAGTGAAGCCAAATTCGCGAGGTACCTTACTATCGTTTCGCACAAACATTGTACCGTGTCCTGGGTATACTGTCGACGAACAAAAATAACATTTTTCTAACCGCATTTTTTATTTTTTAATTTTCTGTCAAAAAAAATAATAAAAAATGGAATAAATATTTGGTGACTGCAGCACGTGCTAAATAGATATTAACAAATTTTCTATCTATATTTTTCCCCTAAATAAAAAAACCGTCTTCTACGTAGTTGGTTGCCAAAACTCTCTTTATATCTTGTCTTAGCCGTTTACCTACATAAGAAAACCTTACTTTCACCAAACAATAAGCAATGGTATGTATCCAGACAATATTTTTTTTGCAAATTAACAAAATAACACGAGCTAAATGACTAACGTGGTCACCACTAAATTTGAATTTTTACGCGTCAACTCACATTTTTCATACAACAAGGGAGACGAAACAAACCCAAAAGCTTTTCCTCTTGCTGACGCAGACTTGACCAACCAAATACTTGATCTGATTCAACAAGCTTCACACTATCGACAGTTGAAAAAAGGTGCAAATGAAGGTGTGTATACGTGAAGGCGGTTTGTAATCATTTAATTGTTTTAAAAATTGATTGGATATTTTATTGTGAAGCATGGAAAGACCAAACAATTGGTTCAAAATCAGAATATCAACTAAAAATAACAAAAATAAAAATATAGCCACAAAAACATTGAATCGCGGCACATCTGAATTCATTGTGATGACGGCTGACGCACAACCAATTGAGATTTTGTTGCATTTGCCATTACTCTGTGAAGACAAGGTAAGAATTTTAATACAGAAAATAAAAATCAACAAAGTAACCTCTTTGACACGTATTTACATATTATCTATGTTATCAAAGAACGTTCCATACGTTTTTGTGCCATCCAAAATAGCATTGGGACGTGCTTGTGGAGTGAGTCGTCCCGTGATTGCTGCCTCGATAACAAGTAACGAGGCGTCAGAATTGAGACCTCAAATTCAACAGATCAAAGGACAAATTGAGAGATTGCTAATCTGATCGGAAATAATAACAATAATATTAATATTAATACCACTAGTTAATGATTCAACTCAAAAAATAACTTATACTTTTTTCTTTTGGATATTCATGATCGAGTCATTCTTGAGTGTTTATCATACTTTAAATTTATTAACCTATCCAAAATGCTTCCTCTTTGGAAATAGTGGTAGCGATTAAACGGTTTGAAGATCAGAAGGTCGGGATTGAAGATGTTATACAAGAAAATATTTGTAATAGAAATAACCAAATTACATCTTGCATATGAATTAATATAACAACTTAAAAATTTTAATTAACTCAAGTAGATTCTTAACGTCAATTAGATTCTTATTATATTGTTTAATTAGCATAAATTCAATTCAAAATTACAAATACAAACTTTTTGCAAAACTTCTAATCTCATCTGCAACTATTGTTGTATTTGTCATTACCATTATTTTTATAAATTGAATCTCCATAATTTTAAGAATTATAGAATTAAATGGTTGTTTCTCGGAGAAATTAATCTATATTGTAAAAGCAGCTTCAAAGATTATTATTGGATCATACTTCATTTCGTGTACATTAAGACATTAAGAATATTAGAAACATTTCGAAATTCTTAAGTCATCATCAAGTTCTTTAATCTCTTTCTAGGATTTAAAACCCAATTAGCAAAAGAAATTAATTTTACTTTTATTGATCCAATTATTTGGTATATAGAGAATATTTGGTATAATAGGGATCAAAATCTTTCTGAATATATTATTAATTGATTGAGAAAAAATCTGAAACTGTTTTAATACTATGATCTCCTTCTCATTTAGGAAAAACATCTTAATTAATTTCATTAGTAAGGAAGTTTTAGGTTCAGAATTATTCTTTGCATCCTCAAATCTTGAAAAAATATTAGGAAGATTCAATAATTATATTTAAGCTAGAAAACTTATTCTTCTAATGAAATAAAAATGATATCAGAAAAATGACAAAAAGCTAATGATTATTTAAAATCTCTTATTACTGAGCCATATATAATTATTGAGCATAAGAAATCGAATCCAAAACAATTAAAAATTTTATTGAATATATGATTTTTAGTAATTATAATATCTTATTTCATGTTGAAATGGATGATGGATATATAGTATACTTAAATATATCTTCTTGATGCAAGAGTAATATGAAATATTTTAAGCAACTTGAAAAAATTCTGGGATTTTCTAATATACTTAGTATTTTCATAAGTTACTTATTTAAACAAATTCTTTTAAATTGAATATTACAAAATATCCCTAATATTAAAATAAAAGTTAAAATAATGTGAAGTTACTTTTTTAACTTTATTCAATTTATAATTAATCATATTTTACCATAATCTGATGATTATATTAATAAATCAAGTTGTGTTATTTTATATTAAAAATATCTTTCATAATGTAAAAATAATAATAAAAAATCATATAGTAGCACTATACTTGGAAAAAAATTCTTGTAAATAAGTATTAATTATACATATGCATGTGATAATAGAGTAAAAATATATTAATATATTTTCGATTATTTCAAAATTATAAACAAATTACATGAAATAGTTGATAATATTGAAGAATTTTCTGATTTATTTCAAGTCAAAATATTTATCAAAATATCTATAGATATATTACATACATCATCTATTATTGATATAATTCAGAATCTCTTCAATTTTATAATAAATCAAGCAAAATCTTCAGATATTTTATCATCCAAATCTATTAATATATCCATGATTCCTGAGATCAAACATATATAACTTATAAATAATAAAGTTGAATCATCTCACAAGATTATTGAATCAGTAAATAATAACTCTGATTTCTCTTTCAACATACCTATTAATAATAAGTCTGAGGTTAAATTTAGCAATAAAGAAGCAATCTCCTAACTAGAAGCATTATTTTTTTCATATCTGATCAGAGCAGAATATGAAACTTATCTTCAAAAATAGATCATTGATAATAATAAAGATCCAGATAAGTTTATGACTATTATAAATAAAGATAAAACTAATTTAATAAATTATCTTACAAGAATAAAAGTTAATGCAAATACCTATCTCTTTAATAAAAAACAAGATAATAATTCTCATAATTTTATAAAAATAACATATCAGAAAAGATTGATAAAAGAAGAAATTTTATATTATAAACTTGAAGATACAGGTAAATTTATATAGCTTAATACTGATAAAAAATGAATAAAAAATATAAAATGGATTATTATAGTAAATGATCCAATAAGTAAGAAGTTAATAAGTGAATTTTGTAAGTAGAAACTTTAATATAGAGAAATTTTTGCTCTTATAAACTAGTTAATATAAAATTTTTTAGATTAAAATATTATATGAATTCTTATATTCAATATATACTTATTTTTGTGATGTTCAGGAATAAAATGCTATTTTTTTTAAAATAAATTATTTATATATTTGGAGTTAAATAAATTAAATTGATAAAATTATTTTTCTGTCTCTCTCTTTTGGTCTGATAATAAAATTTATTAATATATCTAAAGTAATATTTCATATAAAATAAAATGAATTTATTGTATATTTTACAAGTAAATTATTAATATTTATTTTCTAATAATAAGTATAATCAAACCTCTCTATAGTTACATTCTCTCTATAATCATCAAATTTTGCTTTTTTAAAGATAGTGACTATAGAGAGATTTGACTATATAGTTTGTTAAACAAGTACAAATTCTACTGCAAGATATTTTATCTAATCTAATATATATATAGATAAAATGCTTTATGAAAGTATTTAGAATATGAAATATAAATTTCTTTCACTTTTAATATATGTATTAAAATGCAAAAATTAATTTAAATATTGGTTATAAAAATATAATAGACATAACAAAAAATATTTACATATTTATCAGTAAATTATATATTATATATTCAATAAAAATATTTTAGAAAGTAATCAACTTATTAATTAAAAGAAAGATTGATCACAATAGATTAACATTCTGCAAATTAATATGTAATGACTTCAAGTATGTCAAGAATTTTTAGATTTATTAAATACTATTGTTATTATTTTAATTAACTTTTAAAATACTCAAAGATATTTATAAATATTAAAGAAATATTCAAAGAAAACTTTCAATATCTTAATGACAATTTAAAGTATTAATAATACTTTATAACTATTAGACTAAATGTAAATAAGTACTAAAAGTACTAGTAATAAATCACTTAAAGATTGGTAACAGTTGTTGTAAGAATACTTTCTTACATGAAAAGTAATAAGATAAATTTATTAATTGTTGTAAATAAATTATATCAATTGAGAC